TTAATAAGTTCGATTATTTCGCATATGAAGTATTGAAAACTTGAGTGACTTTTACATCCCCACTTAATCACCATGGCGTTTTACGTGATTAATAAGCCGCTTTCAAAGCTTGAGCTTTTGTTTGCAAAAAGATCGCTACACATCTTTATCGCCTTAATGAATTGGCTTTACGAGATAAACGCAAGAGAGTGAAACGTCGATAATAGTAACGAACTCAATCGCATTTAGAAGCCTTTTAATTCCATAAAATTAATTATCTCGGCAGTTTTATTTTGACTTTGCAGCTTATCGAATATTTTATAATTCCGGTATGCTGTGAGTAACGTTACCATCCGAGGAGCTGTGAACACACGTGCCTTTATTTTATAAGCGCGATAATGCAAATCAATTTCAGTGCGCATGGCAGAATATATATAAATTCATAAGTCATTTAAAATCTCTGTAAAAAATTGAACACTATAGAATATTCTACCGTCTTATTCTACCTAAAGGAAGTATATGTCCATTGTACATATGCATGTATAATACATGATATGTATTATATTTCAAATAAATGTATTAATATACGATTTTTTTAACACACTAATTTTGCTTGCGTAATCGAAAAGAATCGTTAAGAATTCACGTGAGGATCGTGGCAGGATTACGAGTGTTGGAGCTCTGAGATACCACGGACTTTGAAATTTAAAAGATTCTTTTGAACTTTGCGTCTCGTTAGTCCGCTTGAATACTTCTCGGTGTCCTCGAAACAAACTTATTAAATATGGAGGAAAAGGTATAAAAATTGCAGAGAGAGGTATCTGCAATAAGACATTGCCAATTGCTCAATTAAAATGTACTTTTATCGGACGCCGACACCGACCTTGACTGTCGCCTCTACCTTCCTTCTCGCGTCTGACGATCATTAAGGTCGAAATATTTAAATTGAATTTATGAGATCTGGCCCCGAGGCTACTTCGTAGACTACTTCGCGGAGGTTGAAGAACCAAACGAGGAAACGGAACGGCAAATATACACAGATGAGACTAGATGCGAAGCGACCGTCATCCATCACAACGCTACAGACTCCGAGCTGAATGACGAAATCCTCTGTGCGCGTACAATCGTCATTCTGAACTCTTAGATACACGAGATAAATACATGTCGATTAATCGTTATATTGACGCGAATGCGGTGCGAACGTTTGATAAATTAATCGTCGCTTCATCGGAAGAATCGTGAAACTTACGATTGCGTTGCGACTGCGACGACTCGTCAGTAGATCTTTGTTTAAAAAGAACTTAGGAATGCTTGATTTCGATTCGAGAATTTAACACGGCACGGAGCCTTTGCGCTTCTAAAATCCCTCTGATGATCCCGGAGTGTACGATTTATATACCCGGCTGCGTCACGGCAAATGTACTTCGTCTCGGCTTCTTAAGTATTGCCTAAGTAAATCGACGTCGATTAATCAGAAATGACAGGAGGACTAGCCGGTTGCCCGTCGGGCATAGTTCCTCGCCGGTTTCGTAATTAGAGGCGCTAATTTCGCATACCTGCGCACAGTCTGGCCGACGTAATTTCTGGATTTATCGCTATTATTTTTCTTGAAGGCGCATCTCTCGTGAGAGAGTACTACTTTGAGCCGTCGCGCACAGCGCTCGTTTCATCGCGTCGTGCTCGCATTACAGATTAATTCTCATTTAATCGTATAATCCGGAATTTCTTTCAACGAAATTTCCTTCAAATTCTGCACGAATAAGTCGCGCTTGCATCTCCGCGGTCGACTAAACTGCCTCTTCTGTCAATTATAACCGCCAATTTTTATTTGGCGCCGCCATGATTTGCATCGAGAAATTCTTTAATTGAATCAAGTCCATTGAATGGCATGAGATCTCTTCCAAGTTCTCGCAGAGAAGATCCACACGCGAATATTTAGTCTGCCAATCAGCGGGCTTTCCTCGATTTTTCCAAATATTTCGCAATTAAATCAACGAATAGAAGAGATAAAATTTAATTTAAAGACCGCGAAGCTGACCGAATCGCCATTTTTGGAATCGTTAGTATTTTTATTACGATTTATGGCACTTCGTCTCGTTTATTTTAAATAAATTTCACAGCTCGCAAAGCGAACAATTTTCTCAAAGTTTAAAGTCCATCAATTAGAAGCATTGATTTGTTGATTCATTGATACGAACTAACGTAATTTGTATTACCACAACGACTTATCCCGCAAGACACGAAACCTTGACTAAGCTAATCATTTATTCTACCATATGTAATCATGTACGGCGAAGAGTGCGCGAACGAAGCCAGAATTTACTTATAAATTTTTCGACCCTGCATCTAATTGTTTTCAAGTTTGCGCGAATACTAGATGTTTAAAAGATGGAAAAGGCAATGATTACTTTAATTCCGATCTGAAAAACGGCTTTATTATCTTTCTTTCTTTTTATTATTCCTTATTTTAATTAACTATTGTAGAATTAACTATCATTCGTAAATATATTTACTAAATCTTTACACAGCGTTTTTGCAAAGAAAAGAACATTAAATAATTTAAATGAATCGTAAATAAAAATTAGATATGATTATGATTTAACAATTTATATGTGTCAATAATATAAATAATATTTCCTCTTTCATCTTGTCTCTTCTAATTGTTCTCGCGCCCCTCAGATTTGCCATTTGCTTGCTGCGCTAAAGGAACGAAAAAACAAGAAAAGAATGACGCGTAACAGACTATCGCGTTACGTGGACTATGCGCGAACTTGACACCGGCAAGGACGTGTTTCGAAAGGAGGAAATAAAAAAAATAGCAGCTCCAACCCGTTAAAGGACGCGCCAAGTCAGCCGTTGAAGCCTCGAGCGAGACCGTCGATCGATTACCGAATAAATCACGATCCACGACAACCGTAAAGCGATCGTTAACCGACTTGCCGTTAGCATGCTTGGATTATCGCTCTTCCTGCTTCTGTTAAATAGCGCGCGAAGATGTAAAGTCATAAAAATCAAGACTCCGAAGTATGTCTGTGTGTCTTTGTGCCTACCGCACTATATGATAATAGGATTTAAAATGCTTACAGCAACCTCCAAAGCAATCTCCTCCGAAGAAACTGTATTTGACATATTTCGATATACTCGTGTTCATTTCTACCAGAAGTATGTAGATTAGCTTTCATCTCGGTTTAATTTATTTTTTATTTATTTCTAATTTTTAGAATTAAAAGAAGATAAAGAATAAATTAAACCGAAATTAAAGTTAATCTACATTGATAGAACATTAATCTGTAATGTAAACGTGAAATGTTTGCTTCGCCGTTATTATAAGTACAATCCGTCTAATCAAAGAGTTGCGTAAATTATTTCAAAGTGAGTTATTGTTTACGCGAACCGTGAGATCTAGAAGTTTTCCAGCTGGAAATAACGAGCCCTCGTCGAGCGCGGTAACGAGAGTCGGTCATCCTCCCAGGTTTGGGCCCTTGCCACGCGAAGGACCTGGATCCTCGCCCTAGATCCTCGGGCGTGGCGATGGATAGTTTCAGAAAGGAACCCGCCGTTTTACGTAATAACCTCGGTCGAACGGAGGCGACGCCAGGAAACTGGCTTCTTCGCTCCACCACGTCGTTCCTCGCGTGTTCAGGATCGTTTCTTCGACTCCGACACGTCATTCCGGTGCGATACCTTCGTCCGCCGCGGCGTCGGAAGACAATTCGCTGCCCTTTCCACGAAGCCGAAATACCCGCACGATCGTTACCTCGGAGCATCACGGATCTCGTGACCGGTGTTATTATTCGGTAATGATGCGCGCGCGTCATTACGGATGAATGAGACGTTTTAGCGGCATTAGTGATCCATCGTGGACGGGACGGAAATTTCGAAAGAAAGTAAGAAGGTCGAAAATGGTGGAGGGTTGTACCGCGATTATCCCCGGATGCGAGGACTCATTGCATCGAACATTACATCACGTTTGATTAATTAATCACGTTTGTAATAAAGCCAGGGAATATTGAAAAATATATTATCGTCTCTAAGATTACAGGTACAATTGGAATTAAAGTGGATGTTCGATTATGAATTCGTGCAACGTTGAAAATTGTGTATGAAAGTACGATAATTGTGCGCGACAATCACGTCTCAATCGTGCGATTAATATATGTATAAGAAATGAATATTCATTTGAATTGTGTATTATAAGACGTGATAATACAAGCGTGCGACAAGCGTTTAGCGCGATCGAGAAAGATATCGGGAAGGATAGGTGATAATAATCGTTGATCGTCGGCTTGTCCACGCTGTCGCGGAGAGAGGTATGAAAAAGGAAAAAAAAAGAAGTCAGATGAGATCAGAGGAACTAGAAACTAGCATACGAGGAACCGGCGAATGAGATGGGGGATAAAGGAGGAGACAAAGCGAGGCGGCAAGATGAAGGAAGAAAAGAGCGAGGATATACACACACTAGAGTATGAGGAAGAGGAGGGGGGTCTCTATGCGGTACCCGAAGCCAGTCGGTCGGATATGCCCCGAGGCTAGGCCGTGATAGACAAGGTCAGCCTCTCCCCGCCTCGTGTATATACGCTCGAGCTACTGGTGGCAGTGCTCCTCTTTTTTCGTTTATTTATTTATTTATAAATATACCGGCGCGACGTGTCCGGTCAGCGCGTCATGGAAACGAGAGGGAAGCGAACGTCGCGCGGCAATAAAGATTGTTTCACAACCGATTCTTTCCCTTCCTCCCTCGTATTGTTCTGCCGTATATTGTAGCAGAAACGAACGTTTGCCATTTCAAAGTACGCTCCTGTCCCGTACACTGTGTCACGTGCGCGCAGGAAGTTATTAATTTGCATTTTAGATAAGGAAACATCAAGTCTCCTTCAGTGCGATCGGCGTGAATTTCTAAGATCGATTACGACTTATTTCTTCGCATCTCATTCACACTCATGTATAGATATATTTTTTTATTTCTTTTTCTCCTTTTATGTTTCTCTCTTTGACACCAAAGTATTTTTTTCTTTTTGCAGATATTCGGTAGCAAGGCGGATCTGCAGCTCCACACGCAGATTCACATGCGCGAAGCGAAGCCGTATAAATGCACGCAGTGCTCCAAGGCGTTCGCCAACTCCTCGTACCTGTCGCAGCATACGAGGATCCACCTGGGCATTAAGCCGTACCGTTGTGAGATTTGCCAACGGAAGTTCACCCAGCTGAGCCATCTACAGCAGCACATCCGCACGCACACTGGCGATAAGCCATACAAGTGTCGGCATCCTGGCTGCACGAAGGCGTTCAGCCAATTGAGCAACCTACAGAGCCATTCCCGATGCCACCAGACCGACAAGCCGTACAAGTGTAACTCCTGTTACAAGTGCTTCTCCGATGAGCCAAGTCTGCTCGAGCACATACCGAAGCACAAGGAGTCGAAGCACCTGAAAACGCACATCTGCCAGTACTGCGGTAAGAGTTACACCCAGGAGACCTATCTGGCGAAGCATATGCAAAAACACGCAGAGAGAACGGATAAGAGACCGCCGATCATCGGCACGGGCCTCAGGCCGTCGATACACGCGATGACCGCTCACCATCAGGACCACTACTGGCCCAAAGTTAGCCCGGACACAGTGATCGGAGACCTGCACGAGAGGTTGCCACACCATCACACAGAGTACCATCAGAATCAGAATCCGGAGATGTTATTGCCGGGACACGGACATCGCGCTGGTGAGTCTATAGAGAACGACTCGAGGCAACAGACGCCTCAACCAGGAGCGAATCATCATCCTAACAGCAGCTCGGCCTTCACGCCGATATCGTCGATCTCGATCAATTCGATCTCTTCGATGCAGCACCCGTTAAACCCGCTGAATCACCTGCACTATCCTGGTAGCCATCATCCGGCGTCCCGACCGTACCTCTACGAAGCGTTCAACACGACGCAGAAGTCGTCGCCAACATCCTCGTCGTCAGGTGTGACGCCTGGCACTACCAGCAATCAGAACGCCACGTCCTTCCCGAATCAGCTGATCAGCCTTCACCAGATTAGGAACTACGCCCACCAGCCAAATCTCGGCAATCTGGGCAATTTGGGGAATCTAGGGAACCTGAGCAATCTCAGTAATCTCAGTGCCACGATGGAGAGCCATGCGTTGCTAGGTGGTCTCAAAGAGAAGCAGTAATTCTGCCTGATCTTTGGAAATTAACCTCAGAAAGCATTCATGCGCTCTTTGCCTCGGCCTGAGGCTCTCCTTCTATCCTTTTTCTTCTGCTTTTCGCGTGACACGGTACGTCATGACGCTGGCTCTTCATCGAAGCTCGATCGTTTTCTTCTCCGTGATCTCTTTACCCATCTAATTTATTCACCACATTGGTGTAAGTAAATCCCTCGCGAGCGAAGCCCCTTCTTTGCGTTAGTCTTGTACGCATATAAACAGGTATGTATGTAAAAAGGACAGGGTCTTGTGATTTTTCAGTAGGTTAAAATACAGCGTGAAAATTATCGTTGGGAAACGGATAAGAAATACGAGATGAGGTCGATGTGTGCTCGAAGATCGAAATTATTTTCGATAACATAAAATTATTACGCTCTCCCACATTCTTACTCCCCCTTTTGTGTCTTTCTTTTTTGTAATCTTATCTATGATCCTTTCGATTCCGTATATATATGACTCAATTAGATGCGTTTACATGCTTATGTTATTTACACAGACACACACATATATCTATATATATTTACACATATATAGATATATTGATCAAACTTAAGAATCCATTGTTACGCGCAGGAAAAGAACAGATTCGTTTAAAGCAAAATTAGTTCATTGATTTGATTACCGATTAATGTTCGAATTGGTAATTATAATTGGTAAACCGAAGTTAGAAACTGTAGGATTGATAAATTCATTATTTTTTAAATTTTTCTACAGATTGCATCCGATCACAATTATCAAAATTGAAATCATTCTTAAATACTGTTTGCAATATTTAACCAACATTCTGAAATCACATCAACATAGACATATTATTTCGCAGTATACCCGCGTAACGCGTTGGAAACCTTGGTTTACATTCCTTGATATAATAAGACTGACGTGACGTAGTTTCCTCGAAGACTACATGTTTACATACTGGTCTAATTATTGTTGATCGATATAATCAACGGTCATCAAGAACTCTTTCGTTGTTTTCACGCAACTAAATCTAATCTCTGTGTCAGTTGAAGATACAATCGATTACTCGACTGTTTCAAATTCTCTACGCTTTTCAGCGTGCTAATCCTCGCCAATAATCATGCGTGCCAATTACGTGCTAGAAAGTTTCATCAATACGCGTTCGTCGCGATATAATCCATACGATCTGACGCCGGCCGTTTAAAGCTGACATTTGAATGATAAAGTGGAGCACGATCATGGATTAACTTGTATTCGAATGGACGATATACTTTCATAATGCTAGAAAGTATACGTACTGACTATGAACTGTGTGAGCCGGTTTCCTCTTCAGTTCATCAGAAAAGATTTTAGTTGCGAACGTTAAAGATCATTTATAAATGACCAATGATTTATATTTTTACAAAGAGCTATATATAGTAGAAAATTTTTTAATAAATTTCTTCTAAATTATAAGTTCTTTGACCCCAATAATGTTCATTTTTGACATTCCCTGATATATTTTTTATCACTTTACTTTTACTTGTCAAATCGTTTCGGATCATCGAAGTTTCAACTGGAATTATTTTTTACGTTATCTCAAACTCGAAAAATATTTTGAGTTTATTATCATTCTATGTTCCAAGATTTATTATAGAATTATTTTATTCTTCTATTTTCTTTTAGTTCTTTTACTCTTTTTGTTTCACTTCTTTTCCTTCACTTTACATTCCTCATTTTCTACATATGCTTCAAGAGCACTGAATGAAAATTACTACGATTATGAAAATTGTAATTTTTTGCAGTTTAGTTAAAATTAAATCTCTCATAATGCGTTGTGACTCAAGTTTTAATTAATTTAGAATTTTGTCACGATTTACAAAGCAAATTGTTGTTAAGGACACAAGTATACTGAAAGGAAATATACGGAATATGCGGACTGATAAGATAAGGAATTAGGTACAATAGGACAAGGTACATGCGAATATTATATTGACGTATAACGCGGAAGAAAATGGATAGGCAGATTATACGAAAAACGAGCGAAAAGTTATATTTTTCGCATTATCGAAAAGACATTCGTAAGATTATGCGAAAGCGCCAGTAATAACGAAAGCATATAACGAAGAGAAGTTATAAAAAACCGCGAAGACTGGCATATAAATAAAGAGATACACGAGAATCTCGTTTAGAAATATATACGGATACAATATATATATATGTATATATATTTTTGTAAAAAATATATATATGTATATATATATATAATATATATATATATAAAAGCATCACGCACACACTGTAAGAGAGCCGCACGGAGACCTCTTTGTAAATAGGTGCTATAAATATATAAGTATATTCATATATTAATTAATAAATTTATATATGCATATACGTATATACAAATGCGTAAATAAAAAAATTATTATTATCATCACCAGCGTCATCATCTTTATCAGCATCATTATTGTCATCTCGATCATCATTATTATTATATTATATTATTTTTATTTTCATTATTATTACTATTATTATTATTAATATTATTATTATTAAAATTGATTAATATTTTGATCGATATTTAGTAGGTGTGTAAGGTAAAGAAAAAAACAGACTCTAATAATGACGATATTCTAAGTACCTTTCCTAATATCTAAATAATCTTATGTATAATCTGTTGCGTGCGTATGCGTGTGCGCGTGAAGAAGAGAAAGAGGAGAAGGAGGGAGGGAAAGAAAGAGAAAGGGAGAAAGATGAACATGTATATGCGACCATTGTAGATAATTTGTTGTTACGGCGTTAGACGCGCTCTCCTTCGGGGTTCCCGCGTGACCAATCGTTAAATCGAGTTACGTTGTTCGTAAACGATACAGAAAGCATGATCGTTGAGTTTTGCATTTTTAATCGTATATAAATTTCACTTTTATTTCCACCACTGTCGACGTATAGTAATTTACGACGAGGGAAGGTGTTAACGGTGCCAATTTATTTCCGTTTTTTTATTCGTGTCGAGAGAATCGCGGTTTCAGTCGACGAGAGAGCGAACCCCGTGGATGTCACGTCCGCGCCTTACCTATGCTCAAGTTGTTTAAAACTATTACGTTGTTATTAAGAAGATGATAGGACAATGAATGAGAGTAGGGACGAGGGGTAATAAAGCGTATAGAAGAACGTTCGAAGTAGATCCACTTTCTTGCTGCGTGTAGCAGACTCCTTTGCAATACGGCATGCGACCCGCTATCTCTGGATATCCCAAACTAAATCAACGCGAAAAAGAGAAAAAAAAACATCAGATAGAGAAAGAACAGACAAACTTCTAATTACGCGTACGCGCGCGATTATGTACAATTAAGAAATCTCGAGTTGCTAGCATACATCCTGACAAATAGACAATGGGATAAAAAAAAGAGTATCATATAATCGATTGAAATGTAGAGCAAAAGGATAGACAGATACCCATCATTCTGGTTTACTATTGGAGATACGTATATAGGAAATGAAACAAGAGAGAGAGAGATAGTTTCGCATGAAAACAAGGGACAGATGCAAGATAAGAAACTCCGACCCCGCGCTTTAAATGTGATTTCTTCTGCCTATCCTTAGTTTCATTGATTATATTATTATTATTATTAATATTTTATTAATATTATTATTATTTCGTTTAATAAACTGTCACGTGTTAAAATAAAGGCAAAGGAGAGTTTCTCGATTTATGTGATGCTGAATTATTTTGTTTCTCTGTTTTCTGACACAAAAGGTTAAATTTATTTTGGCCTTTTTTTCCCTTCTCTCTTATCAATAATCCCTCCTTTCGTCCTTTGTTTTTAAGAGTTCTATTTTGCACCAGTGATTATTGATTTTTGAAAGACGACATTTATTTATCATGTTCCGATTTGTAGATTGAAAATTTACGAAGAACGTCGAAACGATGCGGAACAAGAAAATATACACCTCGTCCACTGTGCATTAATGTTTCTATAGAGATATTAAATGTTGGTACGCACATTAGGGCCGAGGTGTCTTTCACGTGTCTGAATTTAATCTGCATTGATCCGTAAGTACACACATACATGATCTCTTTCCATAATTAATCTGATTGATATAAATTACTTTTTTATTCTAAGGATGCAAAATTGCTGATTTAAATTGGGATAAAAGAAATTTTGTTAATGCCTCTTTTTTAAAATATCATTATTAAAATATATTATTATTAAAAAAAATGAATATATCGTGTCTCTCCTCTCACGTAGTTACACTCGCGCGTACTTACGGATTGTGAAGCACAAGTTACATGAAAGAATAAAACGAAAGGACTCTCTTCAGAAAATAGATTTTACTCTTAATCGCATTTTCAGCGCGTTTTCTTTTCTGTGGCATGAACTTTCTCCTCATTAACTGGAATGATCTATTTGTTTTGTCAAAATGATGTAAATTAAGAGAGCAAAACAGAATGAATTTTTTAATTTGACAAAGATAGAAACAGCACGGTTGGAGTAATACATTCTTTTCATCTGTAACTTGTCGCTTCTTCGCTGGTAAAAGGATTGGAGGAAATCGTTTTCCCCCCTCGCTAATCGTTACCGCGACTCTCCCTTCTGTCGTGCGCCATTTCGTTTCCGTTGTAACGCCGTTCGAATCATTTCATCCTTCGCTGATTCTCTGTCGCAATCCTCTGTCTCTCGTTTCTTACATTCGATTACGATAAATTTCATGAGACACTCGAGCGCACTCGATTCCAGCGCGCCGCGCGAACACTTCGCGGACAGATGCCGTCCAATTATTCTTTCGTCGTGTATACATACAAGGACAAGAGGGTTCATGTGTTACGACATACTAAAGTCAAAGGGAACTTTTCATCTATCCTACGACACGAAGAAGAGTGTTTCGGAGGAGGGGGAGGGGGCAATAATTAACAAAAATTAACAAAGAAAAAAAAGAAAGAAAAAGCGATATTCGTAAAATTGAAGGATGTCATTGCGGGACGTACCGATTGACGAAGTTGTTCTTTGCTACTCGCGCGCGATCAGTTCCTTCGAATGACAACGATCTTTTGGCAGATGCGAAAAGGGAAAGATATAATAGAGTACACTCTTTTAGCAATACTTAGGAAGCACGGGAGGGAGGGGAAACACGAAGTCTTTCGACATGGAGAACGATAGGGTTAGCGGATGATGTCGACGAGCGGATGTCGATCGTTTAATGCAAATAAATTTCGCATTCCAAGCAATAATTTACAGTCCGCGTCAATCGCCGTGTCTAGATGTATAAAACGGAGAAATATCGACATTCTCTCTTCGGGACAAATTGCGTAGCGAGGACACACATTTGCATTATTAGAATGATTTAATAAGAGCATATATAAGATAGAGACTGTATACTACGATCTCGTAGCAAGATCGAGAACTGTACGTATTGTATATTCTTTTAATTAAATGCGTATCTGTACGCGGATATTCACAGCAACGAGATCCCATCAGATTAAACCATCTTCGAGAAAAAGGCTTCGCAACCTCACTCTTTATATATTGTTCTCTTTCGGCAATAGTTATTATTACTATATACTTCAAGTATACAAGTTGTAAATGAATGTTTCTACAACCAGCATACCTTGCGTAACCATTAGTCGTCGAGAGGAAAAGCGAGGAAATAAATAAATAAATATATACGCGTGCGCGCATACAAATG